TAGGCTGATAGAGATAGATCATCTTGCTCAGGGGCTGCAAAATGTCTGAGTCTAACCTAGTACTAAATGTGCTAGTACTTATCTAGCACATTTATAAAAATATGTAAAGGCCTTTTGAATGGGATGAGGCTGATGTATATTACCCTCATCAATTCAGCCCTGTTAATGCACCACCAACAGTTTCACACCTTTGTTTTCTCCTTGGCCTGATAGCTTTTGAGCCTGCAACCCCTGAATTCAAACCAGCATAATCGATAGCCCAACAAAGTAAAACTAGTGGACGGAAAATGGAAGATATGTCATTAAGCTCTATCAGTAGCTATATTCACTAGCCTTATTGATAAAAAATTTTTTAGGTTTTTTTTTTTTATTTTGGGGGTTTACAAGCTGTATCAGAGGTCTGCTCTGCAAACAATAATAGAGACAAACCTAGCCTGCAGCCTGTTTTTGATTGTCACATCTCCTAGCTAAGAGTAGTTTTTGTATTTTTAAACAGTTGGAAAAAAAATCAAAGGAAGAACATTTAACAAGAAAATTATGTGAAATTCACATTTCAATGACAGTAGATACAATTTTACTGGAACACAGTCACTCTCACTTCGTGTATGCATTATATATGGCTACATTCTCACCATAATTGCAGTTCAGTAGTTGCACAACAACTACATGGCCCTCAAAGCCCGAAATATGGTCCTTTTCTTTTTTTTAAAGATTTATTTATTATTATTTATATAAGCACTGTACAGTCAGAAGCGGCAGGGTGAGAGAATTCACCAGAGCCAGAGCAGGGAGCAGAGCAGGCAGAAGGATGGAAGTACACTGCTGAGGGGAGCAGCGGGCTGCAGGAGATGTCTGCGCGCCATTGTGGGACCTCCTCCGGTGCCGGGGCAAGCCGGGGATCGAACAGGCGCTGCAGAGGCTGCGGGCAGCTCCGCAACCCAGCACTCAACCGCTGCGCCACCGGGGAGGCCCTGAAATATGGTCCTTTTCAAAATAGGTTACCTGACCCCAGAGCTATATTGAAGAAAATGTAATGTTGCCAATTAACTGCTGAAAAGTCACAAATATTTGTTTGGAATTACTCACACCTTACACGTCACTCTCAGTTAAATCAACGAAGATGCAACCACGCCTCTCCTCCACCAAAAATATTTTTTAATCCTCCCTGTCTATAAAGAAAAGTTTGAAGTACTTAAGAAGTCCTTCATAGTCAAGGCTTATCCTTTCAAACTCATCTTCCAAACCTCCCCTTCCCCCCATATTTCAGACGACTTGAATTATTTGCAAATTATTTCAGATGATTTGAATTATTTGCTATCCTTTCATTCTGTGTTAATCCAACCATATACAATGTCCTGTGCTGAATACAGAGCAATGAAGTAAAACAAGCAGGACCTTTACAGAAGGCCTATGTTCTAATTCAGATTTTTCTCCTCACTACTTGAAGAAAGTTACTTAACACCCCTGAGGTTCAGTTTTCTCATCTATAAAGTGGAAATAACATCTCTAATAATGGGGGCCTCCCTGGTAGCACAAGGAGTTAAGTCTCAGCACTGTGAAGCTATCAGCAGCCACTGCAGCACGAGTTTGATCCCTAGTCCACCAGGGAGCTGATCCTTATGGCGTAGCAGACCTCTACTGTCTTGCCCGCTGCTCCCCTCAGCAGTGTATTTCAGCCAATCCACCTGCTCTGCTCACCACTCTGTCTCTGGTGAATCCTCTCACCCCCCGGCCCCCAACACATCTGGCCTGTACCCAGCTCTTGTATGCATAAATAAAATTATATTTAAAAAAAAAACAATTCTAATAGAGGTAACAAAATACCTCATAAGTCTACAAGAATTAATTTGTGGCACATGAGAACAGCTAAACAAGCAATGTGTTATTCATTCTGTCTAATTTCAGTACAATTTCTTCTTTTGCTTTTCCTTATCTTCTCACCAGGAAATCAGCTCTTCCTCTAATGGCACATTCCATGGTATCCACCTGTTCTACTCTTAGGATTCTGATCCATATCTACAGCCTTTACATGATAGCAATGTCAACATAAGTCTTGACTCCTCTATCAGCCCAAGAACTCCTTTAGGGTAGAATCCATCTGTGACTCACTGTCACAACTGTGACAGCCCTGAGAACAATGGCTTGAATATAGCATGTACACAAGTATTACTGAATGAATGGTATGTGTCCATGAACTATATATAACAATTATTAGGTATATCATGTTGCACTGAGATATAAGCAAGTACATCACTTGTTCTGAATAATGGCCACCCTAAGTGCTTAGAAAATATTTCAAACATCGAGGACTGAAACTGCCAACACAAAATCAAAGGACTAACAGAAAAGTGGGCAATGTATTCAAGTTTCAACTATTGCTTTTATTTTCCATCAACGCCAGTTATGATTATCATCTTGTGCTCCAGCAATTATAAATAGATCACATTTAAAAGAGGAGAATCAACCACCTCTCCAAGAGAGACATGTTGTCCATCATAACATCAACTACCTTTGAGAAGAAAGCTAACTAAATCTAAATATTCAAACAGGACCTACATTCAATGAATTAATCAATCATCACACATAGTCATGATAAAACTTTATATTACAAAAACAAACACCACCAGGATAAATGCAAAAGTCAAATTCCACCTCAGTTGTCAATGTAAACAAAAACTGCAGCTGAAACAGCACAATGCACCATGTTTCCTTTCTTCCTAGAAACACAGGTTATTTGATTTGATGGTCAATTCAATACATTAAATAAAAAAGGTGTCAACAATTTTTCCTGACTTTTAAGGCCAGATTCCAAATGCCAAAATGAATCCACACATATGAATACAAAATTAATTGCTGAGACATGCCAATATAGGGAGTGACATCTGCAAACAGGATGACACTAAATAATTTGTCTGCTTCCAACTACTTCTGCTTATGTATTTCCCTTCATAAAGCTTCTATAAAAGGAACACATTCACCAATAAGTATATCAACCTTATGTATTATCAACAATTTACAACGCTTGGCCTTTCCATTTACAAAGCACTTTCACAACTCATCATTTGAGCTGCCTAAAAACTCTGTGAAATGGGTATAAATACCACCATTTTACAGATGAAGTAATTTGTGCCAAGCTCCAAGATGGTCAAGTCAAGATTGTAACCCAGGTCTTCTAACTCCAATTTCAGGCTTCTCTTTTCCTTTATCCTCCACACAAAGTAAGAACATACCTTTGCTTTGCTTCCACCCCACTTATTCCCAAAAAGCTGCACCATGAGCACTTCACAGTGGGAGTATAAACATCACTGTGCTCAAAACAGTGGGAAATATCCCACCATTGCCTCTAGCTGATCATGTATTTAGAATCACACAATTTACAGAAAGAAATGGAGTGTGGATTAACTGCTGGGTTTTATTTTCCAACTGTCCTATTTTTGGCTTTCTATATATACTCTGAATCAGAAAACCATCATGAAGACCTCTAGACCAAAATACCTCTCGGATCTTTTGCTGACATGCAAAGGTCAGGGCTGCATAATTGTTCACTCTTACCACTTTTGGTCTCAGAAAA